TGGAATCCGTTCCCGAAGTAACTGGTCCGTCTGACCCTGGGCCTTCAAGGCAGCCAGCCAGGTGCGTGGCTCTGTATCATCTTCAGAGATGATGGAAACTTCCGAAGGAGGAGGAACGAGGTACAAGGGGTGGTTGGCCATTCCCGCATGATTGTCCACCCGCTGACCCGGTTTGGCCATGGCGTGGGGTTGATTTTGAACACGCCCCTTTGCTTGGTTTTGATCGTCATTCACGGGGCAGCGACGCCTGGGCGTCAGCCTATCCCGAAATAAACGAAAATCTCCAAAAACAAATAAGAATGTTCACTAAAATTTACAGTCATCCTGAGGAAACCTCGAAGCCGAAACAAATCAGCTCTGATACCACCCCGTGCGTCGTTTTGTACCTTGAACGCCGATCAGAGTAGTTGGGGGTGTGGCCGAGGATTTTTGGCCGGTGCGGTTGAATCGCCAGGGCGGAACGAGGGATTTTTGTTTCGGGCCGAGGGTTGCCTTCTTTGGTTTGAACTGTCGTCGAGGGCATGAGACGAAGAGAGCAACCATTGCATCAACAAAAACCCAAAAAGACAAACAATTTGAAACAGAAAAAGAAAAAAAAAACGAGGGAGCGAAAGTTTACGTCTCCCTTTTGCGCCGGGTTCGCGCGAACTTTGGGGCGGTCACTCTGGAATACGAAATTTTCAGGCCTGATGTCAAATTCGTCCAGCCCGCGCCAACGTCATAGCACGGGGTCGCTGAGGGTCGGGCGGGCCGAGGGAACCCCAACTCAAAAGTAAGTCAGGAGCACGCCCATGTTGCGGGACAGTTCTCGGAATCGAGCCGCACCTTCGTATCCCAGGACTAGTCTTCGCTAGGAGCATGAATCCCCCTGGCGACACCTGCGGCAGCTAAACTGAGGTTTCACGTGGCGTGAGCCGCAGACCAGGGCAACATAGTTAGATTGATGTAGGGCAATATCAGGTAGGGGACGAGAATCGATCAGGCCCTGGCGGGGTTATGCAGATGAATCTGCTTAGTCCGTCGCAGAGCGCTCCGCACGTTCACGTCGCAGTACACGCTATCGTCGTCTGCGATGGGGAAGGTCGGCAACACACTGCGATGGACTGATACGAAGGTTGAGCACGGGCAGGGACCCGCGCTCACATCCACCGAGATAAATGCTGGCTCCATGCAAAGGTCAATAAAACCCGCCTTACTCTCTCTCTCTCTCTCTCTCTCTCTCTCTCTCTCTCTCTCTCTCTCTCTCTAGGTTTATCATGATATAGGATGATTGTTTTTTTATGTGAGAGATGTAAAGAATGCATCTCGTGTGTTTTGTAAATGTGAAATGTGTAAATTGTCTACTCTTCGATATATTCGCGCAATCTGCCTACGGATAGACAATAGGCTCAAGTATGAGTAAGGGGAACGCAGTTCATTTGGTGAAAATGTGTGAGGATCCCAAGGGATTTATGAGTCTTTTGAGACTCAAATGCTTGTCCATGCCGAATGTTATTTGTTGAGTTGTGGAGAGTACCCATAAGTTGGTCTCTCAATAATGAGTGTTTTATGGTTAACTCCCCTCCATGTGGCAGGTGGTTGTGAAGTTTTATGAGAGAGTCCCATTCAAAAGTGAAAGGTGGTTAAATGATTTAAAATGACATGGAAAACGGTTTGAACGATAAAGTCTGACGAGAAAGACCAAGAAACTGATTATTTACTGGTGAAATTTTGGAAGAGCGCAAATTGGTGAAATTTTGAGAGATGTCTTTAAGATGTGTGGTCTGCTTTACTCTGATCAAGTGGGAGGCCACAACCCTGTGAATCTGACGGTGGATTTTTAAGGATTTTGGAAAGGACGGAGTGCTCTCTATATTGTCCTGTAGAGAACTGGTGAATGTCTTTGAGTAAAACAAACCTTTGCGTAGTCCCGCAGTAGGCCTGAGTTTATTGCGACACACCGTCCAGTCACTATGATGCTAATCTTAAGACATATATAAGAGACCCAGCTAGGGGATAATCTTGCATCACTAGGGCGCAACCCCTAGTGTTGGCTGCAGACCAGCACATCCTGGCAGCGGACCCACGTCTCACCAAAGGATAAGGCTTGAGGGGTGTGGCCGCCTCAGAGAGCCTTATTCCCGCGGGATGTCGGAGGGATAAGAGTCGAGTCTGTCGTGTTTTTTTTAGAGTCCTGATAAAGTGTTTATCATGAAAGTTGCTTATCGTTGCGCAACCAACGAGGGCACTGCCGCTAATGTAACAACGCGGTGGACCGTTGATCTGGCTTGATCAACTAGACTATGGTGGACCAAGATGGAGACCTGACCTTCCTGTACTAGACTGTAGGAGAGATCTGTGATAAAAGTTTATATTTTTATGAATATTTTATGAGAAAGGCTATAATGCCTTTAAAAGGTCTCGGTTAGGGTCCGCGTCCTAAGTTATGACCCCGTACGCGAAACGATGACTAAACAGGACACCCAACTATAAGCCAACTGATGTCTAGGACAAAGGGAGAGGATTATCAATTACTACTTGAAGCAAGCTCAACACTGTAGTACGGATCAAGTATCCCGGTGTCCTAAGCCTGGTCATAGGAGACCCAGGTTGAAACCTTGGCAGTGATTTGTTGTGACCGAGGGTCATTTGATAAGATCCTCAAACAGTGTCAAGTTGACCAATCAGATTGGATCTTTTCTCGTCAGCATTTGGAGTTCTGGATGAGTTGATAGCTTTTGATTATTCGAAGCGACGGGGACGTCGCTTAATAAGGTCCGGTACTAAACTGTCGGCGTGAATACCCTTACAAGGGTATCCGCCCTGGTTTTTGCAAGTGACAGAAAGTCGGTTTCGTTTGAAATTTGAGTACATTGCACGAGTTGCTGTTGTGTTTTGTTCACGTTGATTGAATGGTTGACTAGAAGCAAAGTGTGTGTGGCGCGCGATTTTGAGGCGCGCGTGATGATTCTTATTTTGATGCTATAGAGTCGGCGTTTCCGCCGGCAAAATTTTTGGCTTTGATTAAAACTAGGAAAAGTTTTTCTTTTTGAAGTGACCATCGTACATCTGCGTTCATACGACATGCGTCATCGAAAGCGGTGTTGCTTTGGGCAATAATTGGGGTGTGCGAGAGAAAATAGAACGCAAGCGGTGACCTCCGCGTGGTAGATGCGGGAGGTTGACAGTCGTGGATGGAGCTAGGCCCTATGAGCGGCGAGCGTCATAGGTCGGCAGTCGTAAGCTTGGTCCATAGGCAGAGGAGTGGCCTTGGGGTATTTTGGTAAGCCCGTGTGTCGTGCGGCAACAATTTATATTGAATTTCGCAGTGGTCCATCTCAGCCTTCTGTACTAGCACTATTGGTAACAACATTGGACTTTCAATGCGACGGTACAGGGATCGAGGGCGGCGACCGGCTGCGATGGAACATCGAAGCGGCTGAAGATGCCAGGGGTTGAGGGCCCGGCGGGGCTATCCCCCTTAGTTTTGTTGCCGGCCCATCCGTAGGCCCGGTCGGCGGAACTTAGAGTGGTACTGGTGGCCTCCCTTCCCCAAAGCACCGGGTCCCGATGCTTATGTGTTTATTTTTACTTTGTTTCTCTACTTGTCGGTCTTGTTTTCGGGACGCAGTACCAGCATCGGTACCAAGGTTGTTTGCAGGGTACCGCCCTGCGTGGGCTGAAAGGGCCTGCGGTTGCAATCTCCGAGAAGTGGCCGTCACGGCAGTAGAGGACCTCGAGCATGTGCCTTCCTTTGGCTGGCCCGTTCGGGTTCCTGCATGGTCGGGATGCTGGCGGAATTCCTCCATTCCGCCCGTTTTGGGACTCGGCCGGGAGGGTCCCCGTGCGGGACCGATGCGCTCGACACCGCGCCCACACGGTAGACAATAAAATTACTACTATTTTATTTTGGAGGTCAGCGCCTGCCCTTGTGCTCCCCGCCACTGACATGCTGCATGCTGCAACTCTCCCTCTCTCTCTCTCTCTCTCTCTCTCTCTCTCTCTCTCTCTCTCTCTCTCTCTCT